TTATTTATTTATCTTGTGTGTGTGTGGCCAGCTCAGCCCACCTGGGGGCGGGGCTGGCTGGCATGTAGTGCTGGGGGATTGAACCGCGGTCCCTGAGCTTTGCTAAACTTGTTCTAAGTATGTGCTTTAGACCACCAAGCCATTTCACCAGCCCTTAATGTAATTATTTTATCCATATATGTTTTAAATTTTTTTTAAAGTGAACTTTTATGCAGAAAAGTGAATACAATGAAATGCTTTTTCTGTGTTCAGAAGAATTTAGTCTAGAAATCATGTTTTTACACAAATGTAATTAGGAACAGTGTACAGTTTGCCAAAACAACATGAACATTACAGAATTTTTTTTGTGATGTTTGTTTTGGAGGTTTTGTTTTGTTTTGTTTTTTTTTTTAATTTTATTTATTTGTGTGTGTGTGTGTGTGGCCAGCTCAGTCCACCAGGGGGTGGGGCAGGCTGGCATGTGGTGCTGGGGGATTGAACCGCGGTCCCTGAGCTTTGCTAAGCTTGTTCTAAGTAGGTGCTTTAGACCACTGAGCCATCTCACCAGCCCAAGGTTTGTTTGTTTGATGTGGCCTTGAACTTGCTTATATAGCCCAGGCTGGCCTCAAACTCAACATTTATCCTCCTGCCTTAGCCTCTTGAGCACTGGCATTACAGGCCTATACAAACGTGCCAGGCATACTACTGTGAGAGATAAGAGTTCTTAGAAGCCCTGTCTGTAATTAGGAGCTATTTGTCAAATACTCCCACAGTTCTTAACTCCTTTGTGGGTAAAAGCTTTTGCTGATGAGATAGGTGGTGTTTAGGAGATGTCTTGGTTACTTTTCTTTTTTTCTTCTTTCTTTTTTTTTTTTTTTTTTTAATTTTGTGGAACCAGAGATTGAACTCAGGCCCTTGTGCTTGCCAGGGAAGCAATCTCCTGGGCCCCCATTACTTTTCTCTTGTTGCTGAGACAAAAATACCCGACACCCAAAATTAAGGAAGGAAAGGTTTATTTAGCTCACAGTTTGTGGAGGTTTCAATCCATAATCACCTGGCTCCGAGTAAGGGAGGCATGGCACAGGGACAATAATTCATGGTAGCAAAAGACGGCAAAAACAGAGCCAAAAGAGAAAGAAGAGAGCAAGTCTCTTCTGTCCCTTGTATATAGGCTAGGGTGGGTGTAGCAGTCCCATAATCTCAGCACTAAACAATGAATCAGTTACATACTCTAGATTGAGCTGCCTCTGAAAAGTATCTCATGACTGCATGAGGCTTTAGGAGGAACATCTAGACACAGACTGTAACAGGAGAGGTAGATTGGAAAGGAGATGATGCCAGAACACAGGCCTGTTCTCAGCCAGATCTGCTTCAGGAACAAGTATGCATGAAAGATGTAGCACTTACAGTTTTGCCTGACTGAACCTTATAGCTGCCCATCCCTGTGTTCCTTGCTCAGATGGAGGGATGGGTGTAGTCAGAGGTGTCAGCTTGGATCTCTGTCTTTGATGTTCTCCTCTGGAAGGAGCTGGCTGTAATCTATTCTGGGCCCGGAATATCTTCGTGGCAAAACAGCTTTCTGACCAGAGAGAACTGTTGACCTTTTGTCTCACTGGTCTCACTTCCACTCAGGATTCCATTTTATTTAGCAGAGTGACTGAGGAGGCATGAAAGGGGCTTTAGGTTGGTTTGCGAGGTGGAAATGCAAAGCGGTATTCATTTATTTATTTATTTATTTATTGTATTGCTGGTTTCTCAGCACTGGTTTTTGAGAGTGACTTCTGTTTCCTTGATGATCGAGCCTAGTTAATCGAGTATGATACTGTGAGAAGCTAGATATACAGGGCTCATGGGTCTGGCATGTAGAACAGTTGGTCTGAAGCCAGCATAATGTCTGGCACCTCAGGATGGGTCACTTTTTCTTTTTATTTAGAGATGGGGGTCATAACTCTGTAGTTAAAGTTGGCCCTCAGTTTATAGCCCAGGCTGATCCCAAATTTGTGATAATTCCCAAAAGCTAGGATTAAGGCTGGTAGAATGGGCCACTTCTTGGCACCAGGAGCTACTTCCCTCCAGCAGGATGTGCTTGTTTAAACATGCTAGTTCTTTCACCATTGTGGTTATGGAGACACTTGGGTAAAAAATTTCTTAGTTTGAAACAATATGAACAAGACCCTTTGATTTAGAAATTTAATACCTTGGCAGACTTAGTGGTAGATGTACACCTGCAGTTTCAGCACTTGGGAGGCTGAGGTAGGAGAATAGCCAGGGACTTGAGGGCAACCTAAGCTACATATTAAGAACCTGTTTCAAAAAAGGAGTTCAGCACTTAGGATATGCAATTTGCAACTGGATTTGTAAGACATAAAATGGATGTATTACTGTTCTTTGCTTCTCTTGCTCTTCTCTCATTGTCTCATTTTTCATTTATTTAGAAAACTGTGGCAGAAAAGCAGGAGAAGAGAAATCAGGATCGCCTGAGGAGAAGAGAGGAGAGAGAGCGGGAAGAGCGACTGAGTAGGAGGTGAGCATAGAAGGGCTGCAGGCCAGTGGCCCTCAGGCCTCAAAGCCCCTCCCTCCATTGTAATATTGCTTGAAGTAGCCAAGGTCTGTCAAATACTGACATGACAATTAAAAGTGAAAACATGCAACATATTTATTCTAGAGATGCATGGGACAGTTGAGGGTCTGTACATTCCCATCTAAAAGAAGGAAAGAGAAAAGCTGAGGAGAGGGTACTCCTTCATCCCCACAGAACCAGTTCCACTGACTCTGGACATAGAACCTTCAGCACATAGGGAAGCCATGAGCTGATTGCATGGAAGCCTAGTGTGCTATTTCATGGTGGGTGATACATGATGTGAGGAAAATTTATCATGGGAGAGCTTTGGGTTGAGTATGAAGCTGTGTAGGGCTCTGGCTTTTATTATATGATGTGGGACAGCTTCTTACAGAGGAGTGGCTGGGTCTGCTTACAAGATTCACTATTGTCCTTTGGAGGGTAGAGTGCCATGTATTGAAGTGAAACAGCAAGACCATTGGAAAGCTGGTTGAGGGGATTCAGGTTGGGAAGTATTTAACCAGGTTAGGGTGCGAGTCTGTAGGTGTGGCGACAGAACTGACAGGACTTGATCTTTAGCTTTGTGAGGTATGTGAAGGAATGTAAACCTGGCCTCTTGGTTTTGGGTTCAGAGTTGCTGCTCACTGGGTGGGGAAGACAGCATGAGAGTGGGGACTAAATTCATCTCAAGTTAAGATGCTTGAAAGACCTCCAAGTAGAGATCTTACATGTCATTAGAGTTCAAAGAAGAGGTCAGAGCTAGAATTAACCACTCTCACCAGGCATGGTGGCACATGCCTATATTCCCAGCACTTGAGAGGCTGAGGCAGGAGAATTGTGACCAGCCTGGGCTTCAAAGTAAGCTCAGGCCCAGCCTGAACTACATAATGAGACCTTGTCTCAGAAAACCAAAGCAAAACAAAAATAAAAAAACTGCTTTTCTGGGGCTGGTGAGATGGCTCAGTGGTCTAAAGCACCTACTTAGAATAAGCTAAGCTAAGCAAAACACAGGGACCGC